TAATAAATCTTTATTTTTAAAGGAATAATCACATCTGTTTTATTTTAAATTTTAACAGTAAACCTCTGTTGTGCAGCACTTTGTTTGCCAAAAAAATAAAAGGGTTTAATTTTCATTTGATTATAAATTAAATTAATGTTTTATGCCTTCATCTGATTACCAGAAAAATTAAGAACATTTTATAGGGCCCTACTACTGTTTAAAAAAAGAATAGGTTTAAAATACAGGCATGTGGTTCTTCATTTCTTTTTATTAATTCACTATTTGTAAACTGATGTTTACTGTTAATTTTTTAGAAATATCAATAGCATTTGTATTAAAACTATATTCACTGAATGTAAAAAAAAAAAAAAAAAAAAGAATCGAATCGAATCGAGAGCTTGCGAATCGAAATCGAATCGGGATATCTGAATCGATACCCAGCCCTAATGCTATGCTCTGCTCACTTGCTCTGATAATATTTATAATAGTTTTGTAGGACTATACGTTATTTGGATAATTAGTCAAAAAAAAAAAAAACAGTTCTATCTGATTCTACCATTAAAACAGCAACATCTGCTGACGGACACCGTGCTGCGTTGTCACGGGAACAGCTGAAGATAATGAGGAAATTACGTCGCTCCCTTTGCCAAGTGCATTCCAGACGGCTACATAATGGCACGCACGTGCCCTGCTCGCTCCAATGTCTCCACTCCAAGGGCTCTGCCCTTCGAGGGGAGTAGGGCATAGGGATGAACACTTCTATTTGGTATTTACCCCGTGAACCGTTCGGTACGAAAACACATACCATTACACACCTACTAATTAATTATATCTTTATGATTGGGCAATTCCATTCCTGGCTTTAAATGTTTTATTTTGTCATAAATGTTTTTTTTTTTTTTGAAATAAAGACAAACATGTATAGTGATCTTGATTAGGTTAAAACGGAAACCAAGCCATTCACACAGAATGCATATTCAGCGCATTTTTTTTTGAATTTGTGGAGGTTTATTCCTTTTCACTGCGTCTCTCATGTTTTTAAATGCAATCTGTGTGATGGGCGATTTGGCTCTTCGTATTAAGCAATGCATAAATACATGATACTGTTTTGTTCATAATTGTTTATGCAATTTATGAAATTATATTTGATTTATACGAGTTAATTTAGACGTAATGCACGTTTTTTAATAGACAGTTATTTCCCTGCGTTGACATTATGTGCTGCATTATTTTGCTCATTGCGCCCTCCTGTGGCCTCGGGAGACAAGACAAAAGTTTCCTTAAAACCTATTTAATCTGCATATAAAACATAAGAAATTAGAAATTTGTTTAATTTTTATTGTGTGTTTGATTGTTAAAACAAAAAAATATTTGTTGTTTGTCTCAAATTGGGTTAATTTAAAAATACAGTGGTTAAATTTATACATTTTTTTCTATTGCTCTTTGTTTTAAAAAAGGTTATAAAAAATGTCAATAATTATCGATACCGAACGATATGAAACATTATATCGTTGACAAATTTTTTAGCTATATCGCCCAGCCCTAGTTTGAGGTACTATCAGTGATTCTGTCCTTCAGCAGTGGATACTACTTGATCTATGACTATGCTTCACATATAACAATAACAAAGAAATTCCAGGTGGGACAAAATTTGATTTATTATTGTGAATATAATGAGTAGGGAGAGCAACCACTTTTCCTAATGAGGCGATTTGTTTCAAACATGTTAGTTACAATACTGCATATCTGAACTCTTGGTAGCTTCAGAAGCTGTTAAAATGAACAAAACCCCTTCTTCCAAATATCCCTGAAACTTATTCAAATATAGAATCTTAACTTTATTTCAGTGCATTTTTAGCACTTAGACCAGTATGTTCTATGCAATTATCTTGATAGAGGGAAACAAGCTACCATTCTGAATGAATGATATAAGGCCTTAAAAATTAAGATTACAAAAGAAAGGTTTATTAAGAACTACAAACTAAAATCATATTTAAATATCTTTAATACTTCGAGTTACAGGCATGCAAACTTTGGAGAAAAAAAAACATTTTTGAATGGTCACCATTGGCACATAATGTAACAAAGATTGCTAAAGTCAACAGGTTTTACTAATGGAGCTACTGTACCGATCTCTGTGTAAAAACAACAATGATGCAGCCAGCTTTGTGAAGTCATCTTTACCCCCCTATAATTTGGCTCTGAATCTCAGATAAAACTGTTCTATAACTTATATACAGACACATGAATATTTACATATTTAATTGGCCATATTTTAATTGAAGACCATAATAGCAGCACGCAAATTTAATTCAATTAATTGACTTTTAATTAACCTATAGGTTTTAATGAAAGTGACGATATCTGAAATGTACACCTAATTTATGTAAATATTAAATAATAACCCCACTAATTATTAAATATTAATTAAATTATTCATTAGTATTAAATGTAAAAATAACACCACGCCAGTTTTAGGTGGGTCATCTTGCCCCAAGGATTTAATTTTAGCTTATTACTTCAAAATAAAAACTATAACTTTTACTTCACAAATATAACAACATGGATGTGTCCATAAATACCTCATTAAATAACAGACACGAAAAAACTTTGAGATTCAACATAATACAATGCCATAGATTATTCTTTTCCAGAGACACAATTTGCTAGCGTGTTAATTACTTCAATCAAATGCATCCTGTATCAAATTATAGGCGCCAAGAAAAATAATAATACATATGAACAATCAAGCGGCAATGCCACAAGAGCAGTGTTGGGGGTAACGCATTACAAGTAACGCGAGTTACGTAATCAGATTACTTTTTTCAAGTAACTAGTAAAGTAACGCATTACTTTTTAATAATGCATTACTTTTAAAAGTAACTTTCCCCAACACTGCACAAGAGTATACAAGAGTTGTCTCCAACACACCAGCTCCAGACCAACAATGACACTCAAACCCGTCCTATCACTACAGTAACAACAACAACAACAGTTAGCAAAGTTAGCTAAATCAACGCTACTCACGTGTTGAGCAGAAACAAAGCGACCTCGGCGTCCGTCCAACCTCCCGTTGGCTAAACGTCTCTCCAGTTTTTATTAAAGCGGGTCCAAACACTTGCCTGATCGTAACCCTTTTTATTCTTTTTAAATTCCTCTGCAATTTTTCTCTTTGTTTACGCCTCAGCCATCTCTGTTTCTACAAATCTCCCGCTCGTTCGCTCACTCTCTGACTCCTCCCCCACTCCATATGACTCCTCCCCATTATGAGCGTAAACGCCCCCTGTTTCTGATTGGCTACAACAGTGTTGTGGCGCTCGGTCTGATCAGAGCCGTTGAAAAGTAACGGGAACGTGGAGTACCATTCATTTCAGTGCTTCTCAGGGACACTTGCTGGTACATTGAAGAAATTACATGATTTTTTTGATATTTTAACACATTTGTTAACCTCAGGAATCTAACCAGTAGTGGTATTTTTATTTTATGAAGCGCATTATAGTTAATGTTTATCGTTATAATAGATAGACTATAATCGCAGTTAGATAACGTGAGCAACGCTTTAATTGCGACAATAGCACTCATTGTAATAAAATAATAAATATATTAGAAAATATTATATTTTAAATGGTCATTCATAGATCATTATTATTGCACATATTACTTGGTACCAAAAATGTCCTCAAAATATTAACTAAATATAATACTCTGACAGCAGGTGGCGCTTATGGAACAGCAGCATATGGCGTTTCCTTGGTTACCGCTGTAAACAAAGCAGCTCTGCGCTATAAACACTACTTTAATTTGCATAACATGGAGGTAAGTGGAAACGAAAATGCCATCAAAACTTTTCTGAAGATAGTAAGTTTCCCTCAAAGATACATTTATATAACCCACCTCCCCCAGTTCAATATTTATATTTTTCTTCCAATGTTTTGAGCTTGATCTGCCTGGTACAGTGTTTTATTTTGTTTTGGTAAACGATTGCAATACAGTTTGTGTGCAATTCCTGAATAGAGATAGGCCAAAATAAAACAAAAAAAAACTAATTTTTCCGATTTATGGCTGGTCGACCAGTTTCTCTCTAGAACCCGAAATTTTCGCACACTGCAGATTTAAAGGGGTCATATGATGCGATTTCAAGTTTTCCTTTCTCTTTGGAGTGTTACAAGCTGTTCGTGCATAGATAAGATCCCTGAAGTTGCAAAGACTAAAGTCTCAAAACCAAAGAGATATTCTTTATCAAAGTTAAGACTCTGCCACACCCCCCTAAAACGGCTCGTTCTAACACGCCCCCACATATCTAGGTCACTATGTGGGAATATTAGCATAATGCGCCCAAATGTGCACGCAAAGAAAGAAGGCGTGGTTTCAGTAACCGCAGTTAGTGTTGAAGCAGCCATGTCAGGGAGACGCTGTGTTACACCAAATACACAAAATAATTGATCTTTAAAAAAGCATCATATGACCCCTTTAAAATCTGAACTCGCCATTCTCGTTTTAGGTTGGTGTCACGTAAATCGTCTCTTCTTCTACTCTTTTCTTTTGTGACAGTTAGCGATGCATTACCGTGAGCGCCCCCTTCTGGATTGATCGCCTCTGTATTCGTCGTCTGACTGCACGAACCGAACTGTGAAGTCTGTACCGTGACCGTTCGGGACGAATACAGCACCGTTACTTCTCTCACTTCAAAATTAATTCAATTAACCATTGTGCATCAGTTTAAAAAGATACACAAAAATATATTTTTTTTCAGGATGTGAACTCTTTAAATGCCGGTTTATTTACATTATGCCACTGTTTTTCTGTTGCTGTTTTTTTTTTTTTTTTTAATAAAAAAAACACAAAAAATATATTCTTCAAATACTAAATGCTAAGCATAAGTATGTGTGAAGTATCAGAACATATATATATATATATATATAGCCTTCACACACATACCAACAAAAGTTAAAGTGACATGAAGCCAAGTATCATGTCCCATACTCAGAATTTGTGCTCAGCATTTAACCCATCCAAGTGCACACACACAGCAGTGAGCAGTGAACAAGCACACACACACCCGGAGCAGTGTGGGGTCCGGTGCCTTGCTCAAGGGTCTCGCCTCAGTCGTGTAAAGAATACTGTACATTCACTCCCCCCACCTACAATCCCTGCCAGTACCAAGACTTGAACCCACGACCTTTAGGTTACAAGTCAAACTCTCTAACCATTAGGCTACAAATTTTTCATTGCTTGGAGATGTAGGGGATTGAACCCAGGACCTCATACATGCAAAGCATGCACTCTACCACTGAGCTGCATACGCTGCATACCATGCCAATTCACCAAATAGTAAAAATGTACAAAATAAAATAAAATATAATGCATTGTTGAAGCCTTGCCTACAGAATGAAAGCATATTAACAAAGAATGTATGCTTAAATGGCACTGGGATTAAATATTTTAATGGGCTTCAGTAAGGACATTTTTGTCCCGTTTTTTTTTTTTTTTTTTGTATGTAGTGTAAATTAGATTTATGCAAGGAAATGAGTCAAATATTAAAATACACATTTTTGGCAAAAAAAATTCTGTTTGCATTAACAGGCCAAAATAAAACAAGGTTTAATGAACATAAATATAAATTGACTACATATTTTCAAAAGACAAAAATTATAATCCTTCTGATTGATACACATTGATAAAGCATGATAAATCACAGAAGACGTGAACAGTTGTCCAACTGTTTTTAATCCACAGTACATACAGTTATACATATGAGAGCACTGAACCACCGACCTGGTAAGAAAACTGTAAAGGAGCGAGTCAGTCCAGGGCTGCGTTTCCCAAAAGCATCGTAAGCCTAAATTGATCGTAGAACCATTGTCAGCAATGGAGCAATGATCAGTTTAGGTTTACGATGCTTTTGGGAAATGCAGCCCAGATCAGTACGTCAACAGGAATGTAAAATGAACCTGCAGTACGTCTCCATTCATCATCGAAAATTAGCTGGGAAAGTGATTCATTTGAAATTATTTGCACAGCAAGTTTTGGCAACGAACAAGATGGGGCAGGGATGTTTCAGCCATATTTATTTCATCCAATGAGCTTGTGTTGTGGAACACCTGCACACTAATCATGACAGCATTTTCATGTCAAAAATACTGTAGATGACAACATTTGACCAGTATTTATATGCATTCAAGTCTTTTAATATATGCAAATACTCCGATGTCAGTAAAAAAAAAAAATGTTTGGATTTGGGATTAACACTAAAATCATTTAAATATTTGGTAGTAACAATTGATATGATGAATGATCTATATAGACAACAGCATATTCGTAATCACTAGAAATTGGAGGTTTGTAGTGTGGCCCATTATTGAAGAGTACAGGAAAGTGTACGAAAGCTCTTCTGTGACATGCAAAGTACAAAAGTGGCTATAATCTGGTTTATCTGAGGATATAATACTCGTACACCGGCCTACAAGCGAGGCCGCGAATGTTTAAACGTATATTTGTCGTGTAAAAACTGTGGCACGAATGTCGATCACAATTTTGTACGATTCCCTGCGATGCATCTGCAATTTGGAAATAAAACTCAATGGAGCGCATCAACTTGCCCAACACTGGTGGAAAGTAGCTTGAAAACAGGTCAGTTCAGATGGCAAGAGTGTGTTTGTGAAATAACGCAACAGAAATTTGCAATTTCCAGACTAAGAATTTGTTCAGTGGTTAACATTCAAATCATAAACCAACAACCAAGATCATCTAGATATCAGTGGTACAAGTTCATAAACCTTTCAACATATTCAATGGAGAAACCTGATGTCTACCAAACTAGACACATTAAAACTAGTAATATCAGTCCAAATGCCATTTCAGAGTTGTACAGCACCAATTTAAATTCAGTTGTTTGGAGCAAATTTATCACAGAACCACATTCACAATTCTGATTCACATTACGTGGAAATTTCAATGCTATAAACTGGTTTCCAGAGTATGAGGTCTCCAGAAGGTCTGCAGAATAAGAGCGTTTTTGTACACGTGTAGGTGCGTGTGCTCCTTGCCTTGTTTGTTTGCTGAACTGATTGTCCGTGCGGTGGCGGTGGCGGCGTCGACTAGAGTTTTGCTACGGAAACACTGTCAACGATTATGCACAAGGAGACACATCATTGGTCCGTTAAAAGAAGCATTTCAGAACTGTTGGACAAAAGAATAAAGCAACACATGGAAACCTGAAATATCCATCATCTTATGGAGCTACAGAAATAAATAAATTCTGACCGTAACATATACTATTTAGTGAAATTTACATCTTTACAGTATCTACACTGTTTAAAGTTCCATTCAGAACATCCGCTCCGGACGAAGGCCACGTTCGAAGCCTCCCGGTTTGATTCGAAGAACAAGTCCGCACATGCAGCATGGCTATTCCAGTGTGGTCATGATACAGAAACAAACCGCGTACGGTTTCACGACTCTGTCATGCTGTCCGATCTAAAATCGCGAAAATTAAAAGCACAATTTCTATATACCTCAATCACTTACATATGAACATATGGACAATATCATAGATAACTGAACTTTAAAGGACTGAAGTTGATCTAAAATGATCTAAAATCTTAAAAACATTATACATGTGCCATCGAAGCGCTTGGGGAACGTTGCTACAATGCTCTGGAAACGTCAGACGTGTTCGGTTCCTATGATCTGCCTGGTTTTGGCATATTTCTTGTGTTTTCTTTTCGCTGTTTCCTATATATCAGAGAAATATATAATCGTGCATATGCGCACAAAATACCCTGCCATAAATAATAAGGGTCATGTACTACACGCGAACATTATGTAGCGACATGAGATGGTAACAAGGACCTCCACTATTCCACTAGTGCAAAAAAAAAACAATGAGATTATGCAGTTGCAGAACTACAGCTTTCGAAATGAATCGTTTTGGCCATCGGCGGGATCGAGCGAATCGCTCCCCGATCACCCAGGAAATGAGTGCAAAGGATTTTGAGAGAAAATTATTGAGCGAAATCTCGGAAAAATTGTCCGTTGTCGTCATGCAAATACAGCGAGCTGCACGGCGCGTCCTCGATGGGAAATTCTCTCCACGTCGACAGCAACAGCAGCAGCGAAAAAGTTTTACTTCAGCAGTTGTGGCGTGTGCTTACGATCGTGTTTGGTGGCTCAGAAATGAACAAAACAGCAAGAAGGAAAGAAACGTGACCCAGCAGCCCATGTCGAGGTGGCATCCCGGAGGTATTGCAAGCAGATGGCCTTGTAAAGGGATAGCTGTTCCTTTGAGAGTTCGTTCGTGCTCTGAACAAGAGGTTAAGGCCTCTGATGACCTGCAGACGGAGTTTGGTGTGACGCGATTTGATCCTTATTGCCAAATGCTGCTGGGATTCGACTCGGAGAGGCTGCCGATATGGGCCGGCCCAACAGAAACCAATGAGAAGAGGGATGTGAAATGGTCTCTGGGTCTTATCAGCTCCTCGAGTTCATGGCTGCCCTGAGCAGGTAAGAGGAGGCACGTATTTACATGTGTGGGAATCTCTGCGGACACTGGAAGGGGAATTATAGGAAAAGCGGGAAAAGTCCATACCCACCCAACGATCCGTGTTTCAGTCCCAACAGTACATTCAGTTAAGTCAGAGGCGAGGGCCACGACCCAGAGACATGCGTAAGGCGCTAGATTTCTGGAAAATATTTGGCTGCCGGACTAAAAAAACTGAAACATGAACGAAAACAATTCCCATGCAACAATAGTAATGCCGTGAGGTTCGGTCACAGAGTCTGTTGTAATACTGTGAGATTTCGTTGTGTCCGATCCTGCAGCCCCATGTGCCCCCAGAATGAAGTGCCTCCAGAATTTGGACCTGGTGGGTGGAGCCTATTTTGGGCTCAGGGCTCCACCCTCTAGTTTGCTGGTTCGGCCCCAGCAGCCGGCAGCGATGCTCATGCTCCTCTGGGCACGTTCTGCCCGCTCGCGGTCACATTCCGATTGGCTCTGCGCACGTTCAGGACGTCCTATCTGCACGGGTGGCGTGGAGGATGTGGGTTGCGAGGAAATGGTGCGCAACAGGTGATTGCGCTTCCGCAGGAAATCGCTACTGCCGCCAAGCCCGAAACTGCCTTTCCGCAGGACCATGCGAGTGCTGCCGGTCTTAGCGAGTCTCGATCTCTGATTGTACTCCAGCTGGGACAGGTGAGACGCGTAGCCGTCGGCGATGAACTGTTGAGAGACAGCGACAGGTCAGTGAAAATGCACAAAAACTTAAGGTTTAGATGAAAAACTGTGCGTAAGGATACCTGACACTGGTGTTGCATTTTCTTCGTTGGTCTCCCTACGATGTAGATCTGTGATGGCGACAGACCCAGTGACGTGTACACAGAGATGTCCTTAGTGGAGCCATAAGCAGCGAAGATCTTCATATGTGCCTACAAAAGAGCAGGATGATCTTTAAACATGATCAAACTGCTTTTCAATTAGAGATCTCACTTAAATATAAGCCAAGACTGACACATTATACATCTAATATCCGTCTAAACACCCTCCTTGTTCTATTATGCTCTAAACATCTTGTTTTGATCACCGGTTGCATACCAGTTAGCATACTATCTGTACTACGATATGGGCAATATGGTCAAAAATATTAATCACAATATTTCTTTCCACATCATTTGTTATTTATGGCAATATTTATTTCATGCCATTAATAAGGAAGGAAATGCATTTTTCACTCCCCAATGAAATCGCCATAAAGTTTAATTTTTCCCAAATTTTGTGTTTTCTGTTTTATTTTTTCTGGATTTTGTTTCATGATTTAAATACAATTTTATTATCAAAAATGTTGTCTAATTAACTGAATTTATAAAACTTTAACTATTTAATCAATCTTTTCAAATGTAATCAAATACAAATATAACAATTAATTTACAACACATTGCATTTTTATATTTAGCTAAATAAGGTGCTGTACAACAGAACTTGTATACTGTATAAATTAAATCAATAAAAATGATCTTGGTTGCATGATATTTCTTAAAATAATAATAACAATAAAAACAATAATAATAATAGTAATTCAATGTAATGTTTTAAGAAACTATTATTAATAATTAATAGGGATGTAACGATTCACTCAACTCACGATTCGATTCACGATTTTTTTTTTTTTTCAGTGCTGCACTTATGAACTTTAATATGCATTATACTGAGGCAAGATTAAAAGAAAAAATACCATCTAAACCAGGGGTGCCCAAACTCGGTCCTGGAGGGCCCGTGTCCTGTCCTGCATCGTTACATCCCTAATTAATAATATTTATATATATATATTTTTTTTTAAGGAAGATCATACAACCAAGATATTTTTTCATCAATGTATACAGTATACATTATTACTTTGAGAAGTAAAGCATTTTACTATACAATAGTAATATATAGTAATAAAGACTTTTTAGCAACAAACACCTGATCGAAAATGTTATCAATATCATGGATTTATGTATTTTTTTTATAAATATCTCTACTGATTTAGGGTTAATGCATTGTAAATGATAGTACTGTATCACCCACATCCCCTTGTGCTACAGAAAAGGAGGCGTCTGTATATATTTTCACCTCTGTGATGAGACACTTGAGGAAGTTGGCTTTGTGTCGGAGGGGGTCGTGTACGAGCCCATCGCAGAAGGACACGATCCCATGAGGGAAGTTGTGCTGTGAAAGCCAGGCCACCACACGCTGCTTCTGCATGTCTGGACGTCCCGTCACGTACACTATCAGGTACCCCAGATCCTGCCAGTGCCTAAACCAGGACCAACCACCGTCAGGAACAGCAAACATTACAAATGACTGGCCTGTGAGTATTAATAACCCTCTAAAGCCTGACATATGAAATAATAGTCAGAATATATATACACTCTAAAAAAAAGCTGGGTTAAATATAACCCAGCGCTGGGTTAAAAAGGGACAAACCCAGCTATTGGGTTGTTTTGACCCAGCATTTTTTAGAGTGTATATATATATATATATATATATATTTTATTTTTTTATTATTTTTTTTTTTTAAATTGGAACAGATTATTGAACCTTTGGACAAATACATCAGTCAGATACATCAGTCTTTTATAGCTCATATAGTGTGATAGTGACAATATGGAGCTCATATTGTGGAGGATTAAAAACAGTGGCTCAAACTGAGCAAACGTATCCAATTTGGAGCAGATGCTGATATTTATATCTTATATGTAAGATGAAATTCTGATAGCTTGTAATATAAATCAGTGAGATTGTTATAACAGAATAACAGGCTACTAACACAAAACGCATATAAATATCAGTTGTCACTCTATTTCTCCAATAATATGACTTAGTAAGATGATAATTAAAAACTAAAAGGCCTTTTACTTGCTAAAAAGTATGAACTATCAAACTACCAATGGCTATCAATATAATTGTCCTTATTTTATTATATTAAAATATTACCAAACAGTAAAATTTACTATAATAAAGATCATTTTATAATAGTCTTCTAAACATATTTAATTAAATAAAGATGTATAAATACAAATAACATAAATTAAAATAATAAATACAAAATATTAAAACAATTATTTTAATAAAAGCCAGAAAAAAACATTAGAAATTATACTATATTTGCCCAATTTCATTAAAAGAAATGGCTTTTCTAGGATTGCCCTTATTTTATTATTAATATATTTTTTTATATAACAAAGATAAAATAGCCCTTTAAATGTATTTAAATAACTAAATAGAAAGTGTATAAAAAATTAAAAATAAGTGTGAATTCTAAAATATTACTAACAATATAAAAGTTCTTCTTATGCTTACTTTATAAAAATTTCACAGAGATTTCACAGCAAAAAGACACTTGAACCACAACCAGATGTTTTTACATTCATACTAAAAGGCCTTTTACTTCCTAAAAAGATATAAACTATCAATCAGACGACAGAAGGCATGTACAGATTGTGTACGAGTTTCGATCATGTTGATCATTTAGAGAAATGTATATATCGATACAGTAGGCTTCATAGAGTTCATAAATGAATGAAGTAAAGCCCTCACCTGACCACATCAACCGCTCCTGCTCGCACTTTAGGGTCGCTGCCCATGATGGACACGCTGGCAGCAAAAGAGCCATCGATGCTGAACACGACGAACTCAGTGCCGCACGGCAGCACCGTCAGGTAACTGTCAGCAGATGTGTGGTCGCCCCTTTGGACACAGACACTGATGTTCAACTGATGAAAACACAAGCTTTTATGTGCAGCACAAATGTAGATTGAAGGCGTACCTGACCACCATTTTGACCGGATACACGCCGACGCTCAGCCGCTTGCTCTCAGGAATGGTGTAGGAAACCCGGCCGCTGCTATTGGTCAATTCTGTGCTGAAATACACCCACTCGCCGGACGGAGGCTGGGTCATGATGTGGATGTCCACCTAGAAAACGGCACAAAAATAAGATGAAATGAATTAGATAAGATGCCAATGGAAAATAATACTAGATTTTTTACATTTTCCGAAGAAGGTGAGAGAAGTTAAGGTGGTCATATTCATTTATCACTGGGATCTACACAAAATGAAGTTTATAGGGCACTAACCTTCTCTCCTGTCAGTGTGACCATGTCCAGCGGCCCGTATATGAAGCGACCCATGACCACCTGATTCCCGTCCTCTGTAAACACGGCATCGTTCATGCGGTGGTTTGCCGTAACGTTCTTCAACACAAACACATCTTTACGTTAGCAACAATCCCATAATGGATTTAAGAGTAATCTGGGATTTCAGAGATGTTGAGGTGCCCGTCTCACCCTGATCTTCACGTGGGTCCTCTTCCTTATCCACTTCTCCCGCGGTTTGGACGGAGTGAATTCTGAAACCTCCTTCCCATCTAATTCTAAAATACTGGAGTTCTCATGCCTCATTACCTGAGAGCCGGAAAAATTGCAATTACATTAGGAATTGCTTTTGTAGGATAATTGTCTTAATGTAAAATTAAAATGTTATTTCATGCAATTATGCAATAAATAGAATTTATGCACTAATAATGAACAAGTCACGTCCCCAATCTGTACATCCATTTCATAATTAGTGATTTTTGTTCCTAGCTGAAGTGGCACCGAATTGCAAATCATGCTTTTTATATTTACTTATTTTTGCAATTAGATTTTTTTTAATTGATTGGCAAATTATTTTATCACATTAAAATATTAACAACTTTATTAAACACAGTTTAATATAATAAAGCTACCAATTACATAAGTATTTTAAACATTTAAATAATGTATTAATAAAAATAAAATAATTATAAAATAAAAACATCATTTTAAAAATGTATTTTACTAAATGCCAGAAAAAAACATTATAATGATATGTGTCCAATTTCATTAAAAGGAACGGCTTTTCTAGGATAATTGATTTTATTTAATTACATTAAATTGTTACCAAAACAGAAAAGTTATATATAAAAAAGATAAAAATGTTAATTTTAATGTTAAGTTTAAAATAGTCTTTTAAACATATTTAAATTACTAAATAAAAATAGCATAATAATAAATACAAAAAATAAAAGTTAGAAAAAAAACATTAGAAATTATATTATACAGTATTTGCCTAATTTCATAAAAAAAAAATTAAAAAAAAAGTTTTTTCGAGGATAAATTACTTTTATAAAATGTTACCAAAAATGGTTTAATATAATAAATATAACCATTTTATAACAGTTTTTAAAGACATATTTAAATAACCAAATACAAAATGTATTAATAAATTAATTAATTTTAATAAAAGCTAGAAAAAAACATACTATATTATATAATTTCATTACAATCAACTATGGACAATTATCCTAGAAGAGCCACTCAAGAATATTCAGTTTTTTTTGTTTTTTAAATGCAGTACTGCATGTTTGCAATGCACTGTGTACTTGATAGTGGATGTTTCTGGGTGCAAATAACCCTGAATCTTTTTTTAAGCAGAATTAATATTTTATAATCTTAAACCATATGGTAATCTTCACCTGTCGGAGCAGGAAAAATATAATAAATATAACCATTTTATAATAGTTTTTAAAGACATATTTAAATAACCAAATACAAAATGTATTAATAAATAAATTAATTTTAATAAAAGCTAGAAAAAAACATACTATATTATATAATTTCATTACAATCAACTATGGACAATTATCCTAGAAGAGCCACTCAAGAATATTCAGTTTTTTTTGTTTTTTAAATGCAGTACTGCATGTTTGCAATGCACTGTGTACTTGATAGTGGATGTTTCTGGGTGCAAATAACCCTGAATCTTTTTTTAAGCAGAATTAATATTTTATAATCTTAAACCATATGGTAATCTTCACCTGTCGGAGCAGGAAAGACACAACGTCCGTTGATTCCCAGTAGGAGGCGTGAAACAGGTGAGGTAGAGCCACGGTGGGGAACGCAGTCAGAGCATCAGGACAATACAGAGCGAAATCAATGCGCTTCGTGCCCCACCAGCGAGCAGCGACTGCAGGAGAGACGACACGGGACGTTCAGTCATGCCTGTCCAAACCATTACCGCTACAACAGCAGCTTCAAATACCATTAGAGATTTCTGTTTCCTCTGTACATAATTTATGAACATTTCAGCTGCTGGTTCTAGGACAGGACGAGGACATGTGATGCAGGATTGCTTCAGGGGCTCAAAAGGAAGTAAAGAAATGGAAAGTTGTCGTTTTGTAATGTGCACTGGGCCGTGCGAGGCTGTGGTGCACTTCTCTCATCTGCTTCCTCTCCATGACCCATTGCAAAAACACTCAAGAACACAACCCTATTTTTGGTTTGTAATTCTTAGAATTAGGGGTTGAATGTTCTTGAATGGCCTCTAGTTCTCTACAAGTAGGACTGGGAATCGAAAACCAGTTCTTTTTTAAACTGGTTTTATTTTGACTGGGAAGATTGGGGGTTGTGAAAAAAGACAATTAACAGATATTGTATCCTTGTATTGCGACATCCTCACTGGTTGCACATAACAACAAACCTACAGTGTGAACAGTGTAGTCTGATTCACAAACAAATAACTTATGAAGTAGTTATTTTAAATAAATCAGTTTAAAAAAAAAAAAAGACTCCCTTATCTGTTGTTAAAAACAAATTGGGACTTGAAATATATGGTATTTAAAAAACAGTAAGAATAATTACTAATACAAATTATGCAATGAACACAATTTTTGCACTACTGCAAAATTAACAATTAATGTCCCTGATCTATACGCAAATTTGATAATTATCTGCATAATAATATGCAAATAATATATTTTGTAATTCATTTTTTAATTAGTAATAATAATAATAATTTTGTAAGACTAATTTTAAATAAAAAATTATAAAAACAATTTATACACTACTGCAAAATTAACAATTCATTCCCTTGATCTGTATGCAAAATTCATAATTAGTAATTTTCCTTACTAGCTTGAAGTATCATCCAAATAATATATTAAATTATTTGCATAACATTATGACCTGTGATGTTATTTTTTTTTAATTGGCAAGACTAATTTTAAACAAAATGTAATTTATGCACTACCACAAATTTGCATAAATAATATATAATAGAAATAATATTATTATTTGCATAATGTGTTAAAATGTTATAACAATTTTGTATTTTTTATTACAATAAAATGTTACCAAAAAGAGTACATTTTAATGAAATATAGATAACAATTTTTTAATAATCTTTAAACATATTTTAATTTTGAAATAAAAATGAATTTTATTTTAAAAATAAGTAATTTTGCTTAAAATATAGTTAGGACCACTTATTGGGTGGAACTGCTTCCTCCAAAGTACTAAAAAAATTGTTAAGTGGAATAAGGATCACTAAATTCCTTATAATTCCCATTATTATGTATTAGCGACCGCTAACAGAAGACATATACGCCATGAGCATGATGCACAGCCAGATAATGAGAGCAAGACAAGTCAACATCCTTCAAAGCATCTTCAGAGGGTTTTCATCATTCAGAGCAAACCCAGAGCGGCTCAGGACTCACGAGATGAAGAACCAGAGCGCCAGCGCTGAGCTTTAAAGGGAAGGGGGCACGAATTCAAAAAACAAGGGTGTCAGCGCTAGGGAGGGTCAGCAAGAAAATAGGCTGAAGATTTGGAGGACTAAAACAGGAAGTAGGAGGGATTGCAGGGAATGCAGTAATGCTAGAAACTAACGCAGGCAAACAGGAGAGCGGGTGCATCTGGAGGGTCCAGGAGACCCTCGGACCGGACGTCTACCCACGCTCCAAGTACCTTGCTCGATGTCCAGCGGGACACATGGAGATGGCGGGTCTGAGGCGAGCGAGGGTGAGGGCTCAAAGCCTAGAGAGACACTCTGCTCTGAATCATCCAAACAGCTGGAATCCTGCCTTTCTACCTGCTGCTTATTTGGCGCTTTGCTGGATTTGGGGGAATGGCTTCGGGAGCCGCTTTTATTATAGGGAAGCGCCAATTGGGACAAAAGACTGAGCTTTTTGGAGAGACTAAGTTGGCATGCTTGCGCTACTAGAGGAAAAAAACAACATCAAAACAACAGCAGTCAAAAGATGAACATGACATGTGTGATATTTCCCAGCTATATCTGCAGCATTGGAAATTGTGGCACACTACCATTCAAAAGTTTGGGGAAAGTAAACTTGAAAATGTAAAAAAAAAAAATGTATACTTTTATTTAGCACAGTCTCATTAAACTGATCAAATGAGAAAGACTTTTATGATGCTACAAAAGATATATATATATATATATATATATATATATATGACACTATATGTGACCCTGGTCCACAAAACCAGTCAAAAGGGTCAATTTTTCGAAATTGAGATTTATACATCATCCATACAATGTATTGTTGGCTATTGCTACAAATATACCCCAGCGACTTAAGACTGCTTTTGTGCTCCAGGGTCACATATGATAAAGACTGTAATAATTTTTTATTAAAGATAATAATACTAATAATATAGTAACACTAATTTAAAAAAAAAAAATAATTTATGCACTACTGCAAAATTAACATTATTAATTAAAATTCATGCCCAATGGCTGCTGAAAATTAATCTTTGTCATTACAGGAATACATTACATTCAAATATATTAAAATAGAAAACAGTTACTTTGAACGGTAATAATATTTCATCATTTTTAATAGTTTTTACTGTATTTTTGATCAAATAAATGTAGCCTTGGAGAGCATTAAAGACTTCTTTCAAAACATAAAAAAATATGAAAGATTCCGAACTTTTAAACCGTAGTGTGTATATTCATGTATTCATTTATTCCATATTTAAGGTAAATGAAATGTGTTTTTGGGTAAAAACACCAATTACTTAACTTCACTGCTGCAATATGACATAGTTGATATCTAGATGACTGTATTCTTCTAACCGAGCGTGTACGTGTGTTAACTTACTGTTGGCGATGTTGGAGGCGGTGTAACTGTCCGCTAACCCCGACACCTGGCTGGCGATGCTGGTTTCACTGGCCCTGCGCGCCCCGCGGAAGGCTGGAACAGATGCCGGAGACGAAGGATTGGAGTGATCCGCAAACATAATGCTGTGAGACTGCATCGCGTCCGCTGCGAGGACCAAAACCAGCAATTACTCGCAGAGACTGGGGACTGACAGGGAAATTAGGGCCCAGAAATCTGACAATTTTCAGTACTGACTACATCTCTGTTCTAAAACCTAGTGAGCTGCCTATCTAGACAGCAGTCCATCTAGAAGGCATGACAGGTGCACTCACTGGGCAGCATCGAGATCTCACTAGATTTTGGAATGGAGCTAAAATGATGCATCATTATTCATTTGTAAAAGGGCCGTTTGATTCAAAATGATGAAAGGGAGTGAAAAGAAGAGGCAAACAAAACCAAAAAAGAGAAAAAGTAGTAAATACTGCCCCCGAGTCCATTTTATTTGAAGACCTCATGGGGCATTATCTACCAAATACACATGCAACCCATCATCAGAATCAGGATTTGTCATGAGTCAAGATGCTTGAATTTAGATTTGTCTTATTATTCTTGCTGTATTGTCATTTTAAAGGTGAAGTGTGTCATTTCTATAGCACTGCCTGCAAGAAATGAAATTGCAAAAACAATGCTGGTTTCCAAAAAGGTTTGCCAAACACTGCCCATATAGTTTGGACTGTTATATTTTACACCAAAATCAAAAGAAAGAAATATTTAGAAATTGAAGGTCCATTATTTTTATAAAATTAAACATTTCTTTTCTAAAAGCCCCCACAAATACATAAATTAAATATTTAATGAATATTATATATTTTCATATAAATACAATATAAATTAAAATAATTGATGAATGATATAAAATTATAAAAATACAATACACACACACACCCACACACACATATATATATATATATATATTTTTTTTTTACTATAAAATACTGAATCTAATAAGAGAATCGTAATCGTTATAGTAATCAGAGAATAATGAGGATAACAAAAAAATTAAGTATTGGGGGCAAATATATTGTGATTTTTCTTTGATTATGTGGTGAAATGTATCACTCTTTGCAAGTCAACCTATGAATGGCTTATAAACGTGTCCACACTAAATTCAACTGAAGTTTTTTTCATACTGAAAAAATACACACATTGATCACACTTCACCTCTAAATTCAATACCATCAGATCCACATTGCAGCATCCAGTGGAAGGAAGTCAGTCAAAAAACAACAAGCCCAAATCAGAGAATCAATGTCAGAGCAGACGCACAAACACAGCTTATGTGAAATGAAGGCACACGCCACACAGGGGTGACACACATAATAGGGGTGTTTACGATAAAAAGAGATGTGAGAAACCAGGAATGGCTACACACACTCAGCGGGGGCCGGCGTGGCTTGCCAGTTGAGCACAGGGACGGGAATGGAAGTCTCGCTGATGCCATCCTGACAGCGCTGGGCGGCACAGCTCACACTCTCCAACAGGAGGTGAGGGTTACTCTGGATGGTTTCCACTGCCACATGTCAAACCCAGAGGCATGAGACGTGGAGACATGAGAGCGACGGGAAGGGGAGAGAGACAAAGAAACAGAAAATAAAGACAAATAACAGACAGAAATGACACAAACCGAGACACGAGACCAGCAGTCGTGAAGCAAACTCACGACAGAACTGCAGTGATGGACAATGCTCTTTTATAAAGTGCTGCTTTACACTAAACCACTACAATATATGTATCTATTATATTTTTGTAGTATAAATGCTACTGTAATTTGTCTAAATGCATCCTGGACAAAAGACCAGCTACTCACCTGCCAATCACCAATTGGACTAAAACAAATATGTAAACTAGCCATTTATGTGCAGCTTTCTGGGGTTTTTTTTGGCATATTTTGCATTTTTATCACATGCAGTCAGACAATACATAGTGAATGATGTATGCAGCAGGGATATTATAGAAAATATACTAAAACCATAAACAATTTTTGTTACTTGAAATAAAAATAAACGTTCACTGAAATAAAATAATTTTATCTCAGCTAGTTGCCAAGGCAACATTTCTTATTGTCATTTATTTTCCCTTGATGCACTAAAACTAAAACTGGAAAAAAAAATAATATATATATATAAATGATACAATAAAAATACAACACAATTAATAAAACTTTAACTAAACTTAAAATATAAAAATAAAAAAATCTATTAATGAAACATATATGAAAAACAAAAATATTAATGAAAACTCAGTCAGTCATAAAATCAGGGACCGTCCACCCAAAATCCAATCACGAGTGGTTAGAGGAGACGCTTTAGATATGCATGTTAATACCAAGTAAAAAAACAACAACGTCTCTCGCCTAGCCACTGGCGATCAGATCACTCGAGATAGATATTAGTAGCAGGTGTAATCCTGGTCACAGCAGGTGTGCGTGTTGACGGAGAAATCTCTCCACTCTTACCCAGCAGCGCTGACTGGCCATCACCCAGCGGGAAGCGCTGGTAGCGCGGCACGCTAAACGGTGGCATCAGGTGGAAGCGCTTCTCCAGCAGAGGCTCCAGACGTGAGGCAGAGGGATCCGCCGGGTGGAACAGGTTGTAAACCTGCTGGCACGCTGGACGAAGATGAGCCACTGTAGGAGGGAAGAATAAAAAAGAAAGAAATGTGTTAAATTTATCTAAAATTCTGGTATACATTTATTATATATATATATATATATATATATATATATATATATTGCGGTTACTGAAACCACGCCTTCTTTCTTTGCGTGCACATTTGGGTGGCATTATGCAAATATTTCCACATAGTGAGGTAGATATGTGGGGGCGTGTTAGAACGAGCCGTTTTAGGGGGGCGTGGCAGAGTCTTAACTTTGATAAAGAATATCTCTTTGGTTTTGAGACTTTAGTCTTTGCAACTTCAGGGATCTTATCTATGCACAATCAGCTTGTAACACTCCAAAGAGAAAGGAAAACTTGAAATATGACCCCTTTAAATATATTGTAAAATGTAATTTATTCCTGTGATAAAAGCTGAATTTTCAGCATCATTACTCCAGTCTTCAGTGTCACATGATCTTCAGAAATCATTCTAATATGCTGATTTGCTGCTCAAGAAACATTTCTGATTATTATCAATGTTGAAAACAGTTGTGCTGGGTAATATTTTTGTGTAAACTGATACATTTACTTTTTCAGGATTCCTTGAGGAATAGAAATTCAAAAGAACAGCATTTATTCAAAATATTTTGTAACATTATTAATGTCTTTACTGTCAATTTTGATCATTGTAATGCATCCTTGCTGGATAAAAGTACTAATTTCTTAAAAGAGAAAAAAAAACTTACTAACCCAAATCTTCTGAACAGCAGTGTACTTTCTTTTTTTTTTTTTCACCATAAACTAGCTAAAAAAAATGTTGCAGTTTATGTTATTCCTTCATTATTTCATCCGACACATTGCTCCTTGTGTTAGTTTTGTCTGACGAGCTCTACATAACAGATGTTGGACTGGGAAACTCCCGTCAGCATAATGTTCACTTTCTAGCCCTCTAAAACAATCGCTCATAATCTGCTGGCAATCGATTTAAGTTGCTTATCGGATTAATACATTTGAAGCCTTTAAAAGATTTGAAACACTGGACATCAGAACAAAAACAGCACGAACAAAAGAGATTACACAGTCCAGGTAATCCATCAGAGGAAGTCACACTTCAAATGATCGCTGTGGCATCCAATTTCATTCTCTTTCATCCACTAGAAACTAAAATAAGAGTATTCAAGGTTAACATACTGTCCAAAGAAGGGACGACGGTTTTCCTCAGAGCGAGGACCAGGCCTAGCGGAGAGCCGAAGAGGAAGAAGTCAGATACTTCGAAGTCAAACTTTCCCAGCGCTCCTCCTCCCTCTAGCATGGTACTGCTGCTGGACCGGCGAGAACCCGGATCGTTCCTCAAAACGCTGGAGTGCAGACTACATACACGCAATTTACATAATTATTTATTATTATTATATATTTTTAGAATGGTTTTAACTATATTATTACAACCACACTGATATAGAAATGTCAGGAAAAGTATAATCTAAAAATAATAAAATAAAATTCATTCAAAAATTCTAAATTAATATTCATTTTTAAACAAAACTATCGCAGAGTTCATACTTTTTGTACAAAAAATGATTATTAGCTTTTATGATTACTATAGAAGTATTTTTTACTTAAATACTTTTGATTCAGATAAATTTGCTAAAGAACCATTTCGATTTTTGAACCACTTTGATTCATTTAAAAGATTTGACTGAAAAGAATTCTTTAAAAAGATTTACAATTTGAATAAATACTCATTTTTAAAATAAACTATTGCAGGGTTCACACTCTTTGTGCAAAATAAAATTCCATGACTATAAACAAAAATTTTATGAACACTGGAGAAGGATTTTTGTCCTTAAATAATTTTGATTCAGATCAGTTTGCTAAAGAATCATTTAGATTTTTGAACCACTTTAACTGATTAATTTTTGACCACTTTGACTGTGATTCATTTTATTCAAAAGATTTGACCGAAAAGAATGTTTTACTCTACTCAAGATGTAAATCTAGTCAATGTATTGTATTGTAATATTGAAATATTTACTACATATTTTTTCATGAATTTTACATTCATGTCAAATTTTTTCATGCATTTTTCAGGACTGGAAAGCAATTAAATAAATATTACTATTTTCAGGTTTTCCATGATCGCGAAAACACTCAATAATATATAATAACATATGTAATAACATATCAACAATTTTAAAGAATCTTGTATTTTTTTTACACCTGGGATTTATTGTTTGAAATATAAAAATAATCCCCGATATTATCTGCTAAAGAAATGTTAATATTGACCAATTCCATGATAAACTATCAGCTGTGGTTCACCTGGTCAGGAAGGCCTGGTGCTGTTTGATGGTGTCGAGCTCGTAGGTGGAGGAGTCGCTGCGTTTGCGGGGCAGCTGTTTTTTGGGGTCGTCTGGACCGCTGGAACGAGGAATGTCTATATTACTGCGGCTGAGGTGCCGACTGCCCTCCAGAGTCAAACCCGAGCAGTGAGTGCTGTTTATAATGATCCCCGGTGACAGCAGGTCATTGTCCTGCAGAGGAAGCGAATGAGTGATTAGTATTACAGCGGTCATGTGATGGAAAACAGCATTTTTCTTGCCCTTTTGAAATGAAAGAGTTTGATGTGTCACACTTTCAAATACAAAAGGATGCAATTTGTCTTATCTGTTATGTTGTGATTTATTAAGGGTAATTAATCACTGTCTGGATGTGTGTGTGTTCATCTGCACACTAACAATGCTGCCACGTCGGCTGCTGTTTTGACTCTCTGACACGGTGACGTTGCTGCTGCAGAGAGCATCAAATCCCAGAATGCCTCCCACACAGTCACCAATCAGACACACCTGCACAGAGACACGCATTACATCACATAAAGAGAGTCATGTGCTGGGCAACGAATGAGGGAAATTACAATTTAAAAACAACATTCACAACACTTCCATGATGTGATGCATAACGTCACTGTTGCTAGCATGGTTTATCAAATTGCTTGCATGTTTTAAAATGTTTCCAACATGATTTAACACATTGCTAAAAAAACCCAAAGTACTGACCTGTCCGGTGAAAGTGGCTCCCTCCAGGGATTTGATGAAGTCACTGTAGACCTGATTGGCTCGCACTATGACCGTTGCCACGGCGTCCTGGTACTGTGGTGCAGAGGTGGCCAATAGGGGCAGGGCGGCCAGAGGGATGTGATCCTGACTGTTGGAGAGGCAGCCTTCGTCATAGCTGTAGGGACTCAAACTGAGTCAAGGACACAAGAACAGAGAGCATGCTGGGTCATTACCAGCCACAAACACTCTTATACACTGGATTAGCACATAGAACGGCATACTACCATACTAGTCTTTCTGCAGTATCCATGCAACACTCATATAACCTACCAATAATTTGCCAAAACGTGCAGTTTACATTCAGAGCGCACAGCACTGAATACTCTATCCCACAATGCAAATGTGTTTTCAAAGGTGTAATGAATTAATCAATATCAAAAGAAACTTATCACCTTTTTTCACTCCTTATTTGACTGGACTGCAAAAAAATAAGACATTTTACACAAAACTGGATGTTTGGGAGTTTTTTTGCTAACTGGTTACATGACGACTGGATGTTACTTATTGAATTAAACACGTTATACAGTGTCATTGACAATGTAGCATACTATTTAAGTGATTTATATATATATAATTTTATAACTTTCAGATTTGGTGCAAAACCAAAGATCTCTGATTGAAACACATTTGGATATATTTACACTGTATACTAACTAATAAAAAACAAATATAATTCAAATTTAAAATAAAAACAAATATAATTCAAATATACCAATAAAGAGCATTTTTCTTTTTTTTATTATTTATTATTATGAAGTTATAATAATACAAATAAATAAGTATTTATTATTGTTATTATTATCATCATCATCATCATCATTAAAAAATTTATTAATTAATTAACTAGTTGATTAATTGCAGGGACTTTCTAAAAGCATTAACAATAATTTAAATCTATTTTTCTCCTATACAAAATAAATAAAAACATTAATTAATTTAGTTATTTATTGATTAAAAAGTATGAATTAATTAATTAGTAAGTAAATAAATAAATAAATAAAATAAAGGACTTTCCTGAAACATTATTAAGCGATAATTTATCTATTTTTTTATACCAAATAAATACAATTATTTATCATTATTACTTCAGAATAATAAACAATTATGAAATAAATAAAAAAATAAAAATGAAATTCTGGAAACATTACTATGCTATAATTTTAATCTATTTTTCTATATAAAATAAACAAAAGTATGTATGCATGTATTTATTTATTTATTGAAAATAAATAAATTAATTAATTAATGTATTTATTACAGGGACTTTCTGGAAACATTATTAAGAAATAATTCTAATCTATTTTTTCTATACCAAATAAATAAAATTATTTATTATTATTATATAATAATAATACAATTATAAAATAAAATAATAAATAAAATGTGTTGCCAGTTTAAGTTAACAACACAACTGAATGACTACCAGAGGTCTTGTTTATTCTCCTGGAGGTGGATTGAGTGTGTGTTCATGCTCACTTTGACACCAGAGAGAAGGCCTCCACACACACGGCCGGACACGGAACCAGGCGGATGGCAATGCGACCCAATGCAGTGGGGTAATGAACCCGCATCACAGCATCGAACGCGCTGCTGATGGTGTTGACGTCCCCCTGCTTGCTGTTCTGGTCTCCGCTGCCCGTATCTAGGATGTTGCCGCCGTGCAGGACCAGGATGAGGACATGGATCTTGGACGGCTGTAAGCACTGCTGTGAGGAACAGTCCTGAGGGACACATTTGGACAGCTGTTCATTCTGCAGCTGCATACGGTTCGTTTAAAACATCCACACACACTCATGACAACATGTTATTGTGAAACAGGACAACTTACTAACAAACAACACGGTACAGACCGCAACAGCAGGCTTCCGGAAGTAAAAATCCCATTCAAAATCTCCATAGATATTTCAATTTTCAGTTAAAACACAGACATATGTTTCACTAGAAACCACGTCACAAGTGTGTCGACTCAGATGACCATAGCTAAAATTAGCTACCTATATTTCATTAGTAAATGTGGGGCTTCTGTGGTGTTAAAAATAAAATAGCATAAAATATACTGTAGCAGTGGTGATTTCTAATAAGAAGCTCTTATTATGTTGATTATGACATTTTGGCTGACTTCACTGTCATACAAATAATTGCTCATTATTTATTATGCTCAGTATTAGAAATGATTATGCATAATGGTTTGTTCATTCCAGTTACATGTACAGATGTTTAATATTCAAAATAATATACTCAAAGGTGGGGTAAGCGATATCTGGTAGCCAATGTTGACATTTGAAATCACCAAAACAAACATGTCCCTACCCCAAAAGGGTCTCGCCTCTATTTTCTATGTTCCTGTGGCTCAGTGGTAGAGCATTGCGTTAGCAGCGCAAAAGGCCATGGGTTCGATTCCCAGGTAACACACATACTGGTAAAAAATGTATAGCCTGAATGCACTGTAAGTCGCTTTGGATAAAAGCGTCTGCTAAGTGCATAAATTATTATTAATTATTTTGATAGCTCCGCCCCACACATACGTACGCAACCCAGGCAACGATTAGTTCTGTGAAACAAAGCAAAACCAATGTTACACCGTGTCTACACCGGACGCGAGTGGCGTGGCATGACAAAATACTATGGAACTCATCATAATCAGTGATGCTGTCTACACCATAGATATATATATATACATATCTATGGTCTACACTGAATGCGGCGTGGCACGACACGACAAATCCCCGACAGAAAACTGCTGCTGTGTTCTATTTATGATGTATTGACACAAATTTCAAATGATTTTCAATGGTCGCTTTGTCGCGTCCAGTGTACTAGACAGACTTTAGCTGTTGCGGCGCAGACACGGTGTTACACGCCTTTTGAGAAGAAACAAAGCAACCTCGGCATCCGATCGCAGGCCTTCCGCTCCTTGAGTTCTCTCCAGCGCTGGAAAGCTGATCTGATATTTACACGGATACTATTTGCCTTATTGCCTACTTCTTGCCTTATTGCCTTAAGCCTTATTTTGTTCCGCAGACGTTTTCCTCTTTTGTTTTTTATCCGCCATCTCTATCTTTCTGTCGCTCGGCTCGCTAATGTCCGTCCTGTGCACTGAGCGCTCTCTTCTCCACATCATGAGCCCCTTACTGCTGATTGGCTACAAGTTTGTTTTGTTACTCGGCCCGAATCAGTTTTCTAAAGTGTTTTT